ATTAAAACGAATTAAAGAGATTAATAAGAAAAGATCAGCTAGAAATATTGAAACATACGACTTTTCAACAAGTATACCGCACGACTTGCTAATTGAAAGTATGAAATGGATAGCTAAGAAAAGTATCATCCATCACGCTGAGTCTCGTGGCAATGTTTTTCTTCGAAGAAAATTCAAAAAACCTAATAAGAACCTATATTGGGTGAAATATCCCCTTTTTGCCTGTTTTCACGCAAGATTAGAAAATTTATAAGTCAGTCAAAATCGATCAAGACTATGTCCAAATATCACGATATGCTCTGTATTGCCTGCACTATATCGTGGACTTCAATAGAGCTTCTAAAAAGTAACCAATAGTAACTTGGTTTTTGCCAAGGCTTTCTAGAAACCCTCGGAAGTAAGACAAGATTTTTTACTATTTTTAAACACAGAACCCTATTGAACAGATAATGCAGTGTATATCTTGATATTTTGACATAGTCTGGATCGATTTCGACGGAGTTATGAATTTTCTAATTTTGCGTGACAACAGGCAAAAATGGGATATTTCACCTAATATTGGTTCTCATTAGGTTTTTGAATTTTTTTCGAAGAAAACTATTGCCATGAGACTCAGCGAGATGGATAACCCATGTTTCCATTCATTTTCGAGATTACCACACCTAAGAAAATATCGATCCTGAGGCTTTAAGAAAATGCGATGTTAGACCTAAACCACGAAAGTTTGAGAGATCGCTTAGTTCTCATTTTGTAGAGAACATTTTAGCTCATCATATCTATATGAGAAGCACAGCGATCACTCTGGTAGATCCTGGAACCACGACCTACTCTTTCAAAGACTAATAAGGTAAACCACCTGCAGGTGATATTTTCTGAGATATTTTTATGTCAAATTGCAGCTATTTATCTCCTCTATGTAATGCTAAAGATCGCAAGCCTTTGGGGTGCATTGTTCAAAAGTTATTAAAGAAATAGCTACCGGCATTCTCTTTTTTTTACGGATAATAGTTAGCATGAGTTTTGACTCTGTATAGGTTTTCGATGATGCCGAGTAGATTGTTGCTATTGATATGGATAGATCTGACACGTTTGGAACCCTATGCGACATAGTCATCCTTCATATACTTGAAAGAAGGTCAATTTTTTCAAACAAACCAATTTAAACACATCTATGTGCAGAAATCATTTAGTTTCAATACAATCTAATAAGAGCTGCTGAAAAGAGGAAAACTACTCCACAATAACTTCAGTGATCTGGACTTTGTAAAATAAGCAAAAGCAAATTAATATTCAACACTACCATATTCTGCTTTATCTGCCATAGATTGTATCGCTTGAAGTCGTTTTTTACTTTTTTCTTTGAGTATAGTATCACATTGTGAAATTAATCGTTTGGCTCTTAATATTCGTTTTTCATCGTTTGGCAGTAAATTAGATAATAATAATGAATTTATATTAATATCTGTTTCTTCAAAAGACTCAGCTAATAATGTTCGACTACTGTTAAAGTATAGTGAAGCAAGAGCAGCAGCACCACGTATCGATCGAAATCATGGTGTTTTGATTTCGACAAAATTGATCTAAACGTGAATCAAGAAAAAAGACAAACACTGGTTTGTATGCGAAGATAAAGAAGAGCTATTTATGCTTACCATACAATACCGTTTAGAGATTCATTTGCATTTTGTGCTACTTCTCGCAAACGTCTTAAAAGACCTTCATTTGTCAATTTTGTAGTCATTGGATGTAAAATCTTACCGAATTCTGGATCTAAACGTAATTTCTCTTTATTTTTACCTTCATTGCTATTTGTCAGCCAATCTCGTTGATATGAGCACCATATATCTAATGTTTTGGAGCAATAATGATGTTGTTGTTTTCTGTTCTTCGGTTTGATATTGTGAAGAAAAGCTGCAAGAATTTTTCTTTCATTATTCGGACCGCTTCACTTTCATCCATACCTTTAAGAGATATTACATCCGTTGTAATGAAATGGATGAGCTAAACATTCTGAATAGATACCCTCTTCCCAGAAGCCTTTGTCTTTGATGAGATGCTATTCCCCTGCAGAAAGTCCTAAAAATGTTTCCCTATTTTTGTGAGATGGCCGTGCTAGTATTCACAAGTCGTAAATCGTATTTCGGTTCTAGTATAGAACCAAAAATCAGATATTATTTTCTTACCAACGACTTCTCTACTGGCATCACGAATAGCACGACCATAATAGTTGGATATTTTATTCATCGTTTTTGTTGTCATTCTACCATTGGATCCACCAAAGGGTTTACCATCATTTAAAAGTTTCCTTCTCCTTTTTCCATCTGCTACTTCAAAATGAGAATAAACAGCTTTAACTTTTAATAAATCTGTAATAACGCGTTTTTTAACATGGTTTACACAGTCTTC